AAAGCAATAAGCCATTACAAATAACCAAATAGGGGAAGGGGGGGTCCAGGGGTCAATCAGTGAGGTGAAGACAGTTGAAATTCTATTTTAAGTTCGATACTTTAAAAATCGAATTTCGAAACCACTGTAATGTTTTTTATGTTGCCCTAGCTAGTCTGTACTAAGCCAGCTCCAAAACCACCGGTATTGCCAGAAAGAATCAGAAAATACCGTACCGTGGTCGTTTCAACTCCGAGCTCTTCGGCGAAACTGCCGCTTGCTGACGAGTTATCATCGAAAATTGATGGCTCTTCGAGCGTCAAGAAAAGCGTAGGAACCAGGAGGTGCTTGAGGGATTCTGTAAAAACCCTAATAGACAACGGCACGGTGATCGCTACAAAACTAGGGCCAAAAAATCACCGGGGGAAAATAGTCGCTGTTCCAACAGTAAGCCGATAGCATCTAGGGCAGCTTTCCTGACCTGGAAAAGTCGCTATGGTATTTTAACGCGAATTCCTAGTATTTCCATGTCCAAGTGGTATGCCTAACCTAACCAATAAATATGATGTGGGGGTCCTAAGAGGGGAATAGCTAGTCGGGGGTCGAGGTCAGGGCGTGGGGTATGACGTGATGGGGGGGAGGGCAAATGGTGGGCGATGGTGGGGGAAACATAATGTTTACGGTTTGCTTAGAGAGATCCTAACGGGTGGGGGGCTAGGTGAATTGGGGGTCGGTAGAAGCGAATGTGAATGCTCGGGGCCCCCGGCCGACAAACACATCTGTGCTGGAAGTGTTCGTGAGGGGCGGGGACAGCTTTCCACCAATGGCCGACCGGCTGGCAGCAATGGCGCGACCTCGGTAGGGGGTAGAGGGAGACGGCTCGAGAGCCTGCCAGAGACGCACACCGCAAAAAACGATTATCAGTGGGGGGCCGGAAGGAGGACGGGCCCTGCCGGGGATGCACCAAAAGTGAGATAGTTTTCTGTGAAACCAAAGACCGAAAGGGGCCGTTTGAAAAATGGAATGACAGGGATGGAGCACGTATTTGAGGCTCTATCGCTCAAAAATCTATGAAGGAGTAAACAGAAAGGCTAGTTATTCAAAAAAATTTTTTGCAGAAGCTGCTAAATATTAGGATTTCAAGACTTTGCGGTTACTCAGCAATCAAAGCCAGCGAGGAGCACGTATTTGGGCATCTAACTGGGATCTATCGACGAAGTACCGTAGAGAGAAATGTTACTCATGCAGAAATTGCTGAAGCTGCGCTGTTACTGGAAATTAGTAATTTCAGGGGTACTGAGCGGGCAAAGCCACTTTTCAAGGAGACTATCACGTCCATTTTTCAAAGTGGCTAAAGTCGATCGACGGATAAAACTGAACCGAACTCTAGATGCACGCTATGGAATTTAGCACAGACCTAAAGCGACTAGATATAAAACGAGATAGCTAATCAAAAATCAGCAGATTCCTGATAGAACCCTCTAATTAGCCACCTAACTACCGTACCGCAGTAAAGAGTGCGTGAACTAATCGTAATACCCATCCCGAATGTGTCTCTCCCAGTTACTCATCAAGCCAACAACGCAGCCGCCATGAATCGTACGAAAGCCCTTGCTCGTTCGCTCGCTCGCTTTTTCGTACTATTCGTAGGTAAAGTGCAAGCGTTCTTTTTTTGTCTTATCGACATTGCTCTTCACGTCGGGCAGCCCGCCCGACTGGAGGCTCATTTGAGAAGAGGGCGGAAATAGCGGGCGCAGAGGAGAGGAAGCAGCTTCGCCAAGGCCCCCTACCCACAGAGGACACGGGCAAAAAAGCCGGCAAAAAAACGGGCCGTGAGCGACTAAAAACGCAGAGGGGATCGAGGGACGGGGGGCGGGAGTAATGGCAAGGAGGCTCACGGACCCAGAAATGGCATACAGCCCGAATAGGGGGGTCGGCAAAAAAAGTAGACAGAAATAAAATAATTATTCAAGATAACGTTTCAAATTTAAAACCACTTGGACATGGAATCCCTACAATTCGCGTGTAAAACAACTGACCACCGCGGAATTCCTCAGTTCACTTGTTAGCAGCGGCGTAAGGCATCGATCAACGTAAGGGTCCAATTTTGGCGATTTTCGCATCTCGTCAAACAGCATCGGCAGGTATTCCAAAAGCCGCGTGCGCACTTCGGCTTCTAAAACAAATTACAAGGACACGACCGAGACACCGACCATCATCTTGGCCGAGCTCGCAGATCCGCTGAAAGAAATTTTCGTAGGTGGCCTCGTCGTGCGGGCGTTCGCCAAGGTAGTTCACCACCCGGTCAAGGAAACGCAGCGCCTCCAGTCTAAAAACAAAGGTTTGATGCCGAGAAGTGCTACCATACCGATCGGAGGTACCGGGTCTTTGAGCCAGATCATCGAAGCGATCATAGTATGCCGAGTTGCCCTCCGACTGATCCTGGGAGAAGAACGGCCGACTCACGGGTTCTGCAAAACAAAACCATGTACCATTTACCAACACCTCTTCTGGTGCTTTCGCATTACCGGGGATAACAAAATTTTTACGTATGATCCAATAAACAGAGAAAGTGGCTACGGTTTACTATACCCCCCCCCCAGCCGAAAGTTTTTGGCTATAACTTTTTTATTTTACGTTATTGTAGGCTCAAATTCAAACTCTTAGTATATTTTTCGACGCTCTATCGAATGGCGTTGCAAAAATCCCGACAAAATAAGCGAAAGTACCGAAAACTTTGAGACCCTTCGGCTGTGGGGGAGGGTAAAGTAAACTCTTACCGAGAAAGTACCTCAAAAATTTCAAAAAAACGTTACAAAATCAGAAAATACCGCAGATATCGATTTTCCGCCAAAAATGCACATTGACAATTTTTTTTGATAGTTTTTCTGTTTGAAGTCTATCCACAAAGATCAAAGACCATTAAAATACTTGCGTTTAGTTCCTACGTATTTCTGAACAGTAGTATATGGTACCCCCATAAAGCGAAAGCACCACTCTTCGTAATCCACTAGCCAAAAAATAAAATTCCTAAGAACTTACGCAAGTCTATGGGTGGGAATCGTAGAGCCATAGGATGGAGCCTCGTTTGCCAAAGAACCGAGAGCTGGAACAGGTAGAATAATAACGAGAGCGCCGTGAGTTCGTCAGACGAGAAATAACGACAGAAAAGGAAGATCGCAACGTAGATGACAAAGTTGCGTGTGATCATAATGTGGAAAGAGAGTTTCACTGCCAAAACGGATCAAAAGTACCGAGCCAGCGGCTAAGGATTTCAAAATGAAATTCAAATTGGTACAAAACGATTCTCATTCCGAACAAATTTCGTTCAGAGGGTGCGAAACGGACGCAACCTTTCACTCCAAATGCCGCAAACCGTCTTGATATTTCTCTCGTAGCAACAACATTGTATTTTTGTTTGTTTTTTATTTCGAGGAACGCTTGATGTTCTTAGAACAAACGGCTAAAATACGAAGCTGACTTTATAAAAATAAATCGAAATTGCAAATATATTTGGGTTGCACCTCACTTTGCCATTCGTGAAACCATTCGAGATCGAGATTTCGTGGCAACCTTTTGATTGGTCTGCAGCTTTGGTTAAAATTCCTGGGCATCTGGGAACCAATTCCGGCCGAAATAGGCATAAATTCTTTCAAATTAAAATTTTTACTGTTTTAGCATTAAAAACGTCTTCTTAGAAGGTTTAGACCCAATCCTGGCTCAATTTTTTAATTCATGCTCAAAAAAGCGGATTTGTTTCCCTTTCTCAAAAATGCATCTAAGACGATACAGTTTCGCTTTTCGCCAAATGATCTTAAATCGCTAAAATTTCTTTTGAAATTTAAAAAACCAGCAATGATCGGCATCAGAATGGGCGTCGGGCAATTTCAGGCCCGGGGGCGCGTGAGCTGTTCTTGAAATTCCAGCCCAAACGCACCAAAACGGGCCGGGACATGGGCATTTTGTGCACTGGGGGGCGCCAAAAACCTAGCGTGTGTTCGAACTTCGGAGTAAAGGCCCCGATCGGCCGGATCTTTTGCATCAAACTCGATAACAACTGATAGATTTCCGTTTAGATAAGTTTGCGTACAATGGCTCGTGACAGGAGCAGAGAACGAAGCAGAAGCCGAGGTAAATTTGCTTGATTTGACACCGGGCAGGGGAGGAAAGGTGTAGAATTGCGAAATTACGTTAAATTAATCTTTTTATTTTTAGATCGACGTCGACGAAGCCGTTCCAGGGATCGTGATCGCGAGCGAGGTGATCGCAACCGTGACCGGGATCGCCGTGATAGAAGCCGCGATCGAGACAGGAGAAAGCGCAGCCGGTATCTTGCTCTGCTCATAGCTAAATTTTGATTTCAGTTCACAAGGAAAACGCTCGAGAAGCCGGAGTCCACACGACAAGCGCGTCTCGTAAGTGTTTAGGCCATTTTCGTAAAAGTTATTTAGATTTACGGAAGAGCGTCGGGATAGGGATCGAGAGAAGGAGCCTGAAAAGAAGGAAGAGAAAAAGCGCAAGGACAAGCCTCGTGAGAGCAAGAAAGGTGAGGATCTTCGTTCTATTTTTAGCGTTCCTTTTGCTCACCATAACCTCCGGTTTTTTAGAACCGCTTGACTCCGAGGCCCTGGCGCAAGTTGACGAAGAAATGTCGAAGATGATGGGATTCGCAGGGTTCGACACGACAAAGAACAAAAAGGTAACCATAAAATACGGATTTTCATGGATTTTTCTAGGTGGAAGGCAACGATGTGGGAGAGGCGAAGATCAACAAGAAGCGCCGTTATCGCCAGTACATGAACCGGAAAGGAGGCTTCAACCGACCACTCGAATACATGGGCTAGACGCCATTTTTTCGATAATCATTCTGAAACGGGCTGTAATCGCTATCTCGAATAAATATTTGCAGACTGTTCAAACCATGTTGTAAAATAAATGGCTAGCCATCATAATCCATTCTGAGTTTCTGACGAGTAGAAGAAGGATCATTTGATTGTGTTTAGTTAGTATATGTTGCACCAATGAATGAGAGGTGGAAAGAATTCGCTGGCGCGCTGGTGTCGTTAGAGTGCAGCGGTATCAAATACCAGGTACATTCCAGTTATAGAGCTCGGAAAAAAATACTAGGGCAAATTTTCCTCAATCGATGTAGCGAACAAAACGATTACACTCGACCGCGCCTTCCGGTAACCCACTCTGTTTTTTATTCGAATCTTTGTTTATAGAGAAGGTGTGCCCATCGGAACGAAAGAATTTCCCGGAGCTGCGATTGCTACATTGAAAGTCCTAAAAACAGCTGCGGAACTAGCAGTAAGATATGCATGATATGACCATATTTTCTTAGGCCCCGTCGCAAACCTCGGTAGAGCAAGAGAACATCCCCACTCAGGTAATTCTATCAGCATCAGATCAACGTAAGTTTAGATTGGAAAGCAAAAGGATGTCGCTCGGCCTGAGAAGATTGTTGAGGCGGTCAATTCTGTTTCGGAGAAGCGGTAAGACTGTCCGATCGTTTTGCCATTGTTTAGTGGTGCCTCACCCAAGAAAGTGGCTCGAGCCCGTTCGAATGATGATGACAATCGCTTCAAGATAGGGATATCCCCGACGCCCTTTTACAAGACCTATGAACCGCAGGTTTGTAGCCTTGCTATTGCTATTTGAGTTTATTTTGTAGGTGCCAGCGCCTGCCATGCCCCCACTGGAAGACCCACAAGATTTCCAGCGACGCGGGCGCGGACGTCGTAAGCCACACTCCTTGGCGATTTTATTTGCTTCAGGGGCCCCCTGCGGCAACCCCCTCCTTGACGGCATGAAGACGGGTCGCGTTCGTGGGAAGAACAATGAACTCAGTCAGCCCATCGACCGGCAGCTCCTCGACACCGATTTCGACTTTGAGACGAATTTGGCGCTGTTCAAGCGCGAGTCTAATGCCGTGAGTTGCGCTTTAGCTTCGCAAAAATGCTTTTCAGGAGACTGATGACAAGCACTACTACGAGGTCGAACAGCCGAAGGTCTCCAAAAACTTTGCACATTATGAAAATATTCTCGAGGATCCGGCGCGGGTGACTTCGTGGGTGAACAACTCCCAAACGACGACCTCCAGCAGCAGGGTATCTTTTTGCGTTGAGTCCGATTTCCAGCTTCAGGGCAATGTTGCTTCGACTTCTGTCTCCTACGAATCCGGTGCTGCTGGTGATAAATTTTCGATGGCTGGCTTCGAGTCGGCGCTGGGCGGTGCTCGCATCCCCGTCGTCGATCTGGACACGAAACGACGTTTCTTGAAGGTATTCATTAGGATTGTTTTTAAGCATTTTTTTCAGAAAGCTGAGCGCCACCTCGGGTCTGATGTTTTCCACGCCATCTGCGCTGATCGTCTAGCCCAGTTTGTCGTCGATTTCTCGCGCAGGTAAATCATCCCTGCTTCGGTCTTCTTTTATGTTATTCTCTTCTGTTTCTACGTTGTGTTTTTTTCCTTCAATCAGAATCATTCCAGGCGCGCAGAACACGGGTCTCTTGTTGTCATCGGAAACGATTCGACCCCGCATCTGCTGACAGATCGGCTGTTGGTGAACCTGGCGAACAAGAATTGCTCCGTTTTTGTGAGTGTTTCATCTTCCACCGGTTCAACGTTTTATAGGTGTACGGGTGTGACCCTGGGAATGATCAATTGCCGAAAGTGGTCTTTGTGGACAGCCTCTCGGAGTTGCCGGCTAACAATCGGGTATTCTAGTCGCCCACACCATAAATTTTTGTCTAGATTTCGGTCTGCTTGGATGGACTAGCGTCAGTATCCGGCGTCTTGGACTGGTTGGCATCGAATGCCGAGCGGCACGTCATCACGCTGGAAAATGGGGCGGCAAAAATTCCGGATGACAGGGTTGGTGCTGTTCTATCGAGTGGTTCTGGACTGTTAGTGAGGGGGGGGGGGGGCGGGACTACTTTCTGTTTTTCCACTTGTGGATAATATATTATGTATTTTTATAGTGTTTTCAGTAGTCTGATTGCTAGAAAGTTATACAAAATATTTTTTAACATTTTTTGGTCATTTTTCATACCTTTTTGACCAAAAAGTAAAATTTCCCAACATTTTTATTATTTTTATATCTAAAAGCTATGTAAAATGCTATAAAAATGGTTTATATTTTCTCATAGAGCCGTAGACAATCACGGAAAAATTTGGTCCCCCGCTAAAAATTCAGAACCAATCGAGTCTCACCAATAAATCGGAAATTAATCAAACAACTTTGTGAAATAATGTTTCTTTAGCTTCATCGTCTCTTCATTCTCACCCCCACACAGCAAGAGCAAAAGCCAGTGGCCGCCGGGAAGACCACCTTCGAAGTGTTGGCCGCCGCCATCAAGGCCGCCAAGAAGCCGGGCCTCAATTACACGAACGTTGCAGCCTTTGATATCGGCACGCCCTATTGGTACGCTATCTGAAGAGCGCCGTAACCCAAATTTTCAGGTGGTTCCAGCGCGAATGCCAGGCGGCCTTTGCCGACTGCTACGCCAGCAAGAACATCATCTATTTGTAGTCAAATCGCGTCATCACCTCGGGTTGTTTCGGTTTACGGCTTGTTGTTGTGTTCGGTGCCCCCGTGATCTTGTACGAAATTTAACATATCCGTTACTAAGTTGTCACTTTTTTTTGTATTGCCCAGTGCCCACACCCTGGTGTTTCATTTTATAGTCGTATCGATAAATCTTCCGGTTTCTGCGAAGCGTTTGGAGAGAGAGGATAATTCGTTTCGAACGAGTGATTTTTTTATGCGACTGACAAGGAGACGTTTTTTAGTGTCCATGGAGTTTCGACGTGGGACCAATTTTATGTAGAATTTTTCGCTGATTATAACCTAATTTTTAGAATCTGCGAAACTACCCAAATAAGAAAATGATATGGTTTGAATGGACGAAAGCCGCGCATGTTGGCCATTTTGGGCATTTCTCAAACTTCTCAAACAAAGCTTTGTAACTTTTGAATTCTGGTCGTTTCGCAGATTCTAAAAACGAGGTTTTAATCAGCGAAAACTTTTTTCACAAAATAGCCTTGGTCCCTCTTCGAGACTCCGCGGACACTAAAAACGTCTCCTTGTGAGATAGTGATTCTAAAATCTAATTCAGTTTGCGATGCCCTTGTTATTTATACGCTGACTAATATGGACGAAACTGTGCACCTACAACAGGGGGCGACACCCGATAATGTCGACCATTTCTCGCTATTCCGAAACTACAACTACACCGAGCCCTGGTACGAACGATATTTGTTGATAAAAATTTTGCATCAGGGCCTACAATGTTCTCGACGTACTGATGGTGAACACGGAGATCCAGATGGAGTCTTGGCGGCACATCTTTTTCTCCATCCTTCTCTGGCTGGCTGTGGGTTATTGATAGACTATCGATGAAGGTCTCTTAGATCTCCCATCTGATCGTCCACCTTGTCGCCATACTTGTGGCATTGGTGATGCTGCGCAAACATGAATACGTCATCATTACCATCGTGCCAATGCTAGGTAGAGATCTTTCACAATTGCGCCAAATTTGGCTTGTAGTCGTCGCCATCCTGTTCCCGGCAACTATCGGGGCCGTGACGACAGCCATCATTTCTTCCGCCCTCTCATCTGCCAACAAAACGGTTAGCCCACTCTACTGCCTGGGACTCGGCCTTATACAAACATTCTTCTATGTGGTATTCTCGTATAGTCGGATATTAGCTACGCTGTGATCTGTGCATAATAATGTAATATAATAAAACTCGAAATGCCAAATCCTCGGAACACTGAATTTGTTGAAATCATTTATGAATGGGGACACAAGAACAAATATCTTTGTCCATCAATGGGAAACAACCTGTAAGTTTTGAGATTTCAAAAGATTGATACCGGGTTCGGATAGGGAATCATATCGGATGTACAGAAAATGGAAAATGGGGAGGGGTGTTGCAAAAAATGGCTGGGGGGGTGGAATTAGATTGGACAAACTTTTCCTTCGCTGCGCATGATCATGTTCTGGTCGGACATCTTTTCGAAGCCGGCAATCAGTTCGGGGTCCGTGAATTCGGCGTGCCCGTCGGCCTTCATCAAATTCTAAACAAAACGTAGGCGACGGCAAGACGTGACGTACCTGGAGCTCAAGCTCCATGGCGTCCTCGTCAGCAAAATCTCCATCGGGGCACAACTTATCGAGAGCCTTGCGCGCATATTGCTTGAAGAGTTTGTAACTGAAAATATGAGGTTTGCCAATTAGGCCGCTCTTACCGATAAGCTCCGATGATAGCTGGGTCGTCTTGCGTGGCCACACGGATACGCTTGGTGCTTGGTTGCTGGATGGCATCGGTATCCATGGTAGTGTTGTCCTGCTAAAGCCAAAAATCAGTTAAGAACGCAAAAAGTACCTGTGTTGTGACGTCCATAGTCTCGTCTTGTGGATCGACTGGGGTCTCGGCACGAGTACGCTTTTTGCCACGGGGCATCACTTCTTCCTAAATCACGGAAAATCAGTAATTCTTAAAATTGCTTACATCCTGCGCCTCCTCGTCTTCCTCCATTTCTTCATCGCCGACTTCGGTGACCTTGCGGCCGTGGCGCTTTTCCCATTCAATCTTCTGCTTTGGCTTTTCCTTGAAGCAGGCGAAGTGGAGGAGGTTGTAGGCCTTCTGGACATCGACCACATCAACTTCCTTGGCAAGTCGAGCCCTCGCCACGGCAGTCGATAGGCGGATGAGCGACTCGAGTTGACGGACTGTGACGATCATGGTGCGCTCAGTGTCCTCCTGTACGGATTCCACAGATCGGAGCTCGGTGTAGGCGTCGGCAATCATCTCACGTGCCTGAAAATAAAGATAAAGTAAAAAATCAAGGAAGTCACCTTCTTGCCAAGTTCGGGGGTTGGCGCGTTTTTCGCCAATTTGATGAACTTGCGCACGAATTCGACCGTCAGGACCTTTTCCCTAAAAAAAGAGTTAGAACAGAACAGTTTGGACCATACGTTTCCTCAACGGCAGTCCACGTCGCATCCTTCTCCCACATCGAGTCGCCGCGATCTCGTTCGCTTTCTTCTTCCATAGCCTACGGAAGCGTAAGTAAATGCAATTGTGAAAAACCATACGTTGGTGCTAATGGTCTTGACAGCAGAGCCCATCTTCAGCACGGCTCCATCCGGTTCTCCCTTAGCGCGGTAGCGGTGCATCTTGATCACTTGTTCGGCCACGTTGCGATCGCGGTCACAGTCATGCTAAAGTAAAAAAAGGAAATTTGAATTCAAAATTCAACCGAACCTCATCACGCATGACAAAGACCAGATCGAAACGGGAAAGCAGCGAATCCTGCATGTTGATGTTCTCCATTGGCGACTTGTAAGGGTCATATCTAAAAAAACCATGGATGCATGGTTGAAAGCCCAGAAACATCCAGGGAAATTTATCTTCGCCATAACCCACCGCCCATAGACTGGATTAGCCGCGGCAAGCACCGAGCAACGCGCGTTCAGCTGAGCTTGGATGCCCGCTTTGGCGATGGTGACGCGGCCTTGCTCCATCACTTCGTGGATGGCTGTACGATCAGAATCAGACATCTAGAAATGCGAGTTAGCCGGAAACGTCCAAAATATTACCTTGTCAAATTCGTCGATACACACGACACCACGATCCGCCAGCACCATGGCACCGGCTTCAAGGCGGCGCTCACCTGAAATTGAAAAAATGATGAAAAGCTCTCCTTCTTTACGCAACGGAGCAATACTAGATCAAACAATAGATAACGTACCCGACTCGGAGTCCGTCGTCACAGCGGCAGTCAGACCGACACCAGATGAGCCTCGGCCAGTTGTTGTGATCGCCCGGGGAGCGGTGTTGAGAACGTAACTAAAATTATAAAAACGTAAACTCGGGCAAAGTTACCGAAGAAGCTGAGACTTGGCGACGGATGGATCACCGATCAGCAAGCAGTTGATGTCACCACGTATGCGGACACCACTCTCAGTGATCTTCTCCTCGCCGCCGAGCAACAGACAAAGGATCCCGCGCTTAACCTCCTCGTGGCCGTAAATCGATGGGGCTAGCGAACGAGCGATGATGTCGAAAACCTAAATGAATGTATTTTTCTCCTGCCAAAGACATACATCCTTGTCCTTGGCGAGCTTGCGGATGCGCTTGATGTCGTCAGCTCCAAGATCAGGGCTGGCCAGTTTGGACATGTGCTGGATGTTGTTAGCAATGATGAGCGAGCTAAAACAAATGATTGAGGCATAGAGGCATAAACAAATGGTCAAGCAAAGGTGGTGTCACTCACCGGAAAGAGCAATCAGTGTAGCCTTGGCGCTTCTTCGGCATGACACGGTAAAGCCCAATGACACGAACCTAAAAAATAATATGTTGGAAAGCGGGAGCTTACCCGATCGCCAGGTTGGACAGCATCAGCCAGATCCCAGTCGGCGATGACGTCGAGATTTCTTGGCAGTTGACCGGCGGGAGCGCATTCTGGCAGCTCTTGTAGGGTGAATTGTTGATGATCCTTATAGTGGGAGAGGCCGAATTCGGTCGTCAACGGGTTCTTATTCTCATCCTAAACGGTTGATTGAACAAAAGCGTTCTAGCAGCCACCTGGGTAGGATAAGTGTTTGATGAAATCATGGCACCCGCATCAGTGGCATCCGTGTAGCGCCTCTCAAGCGTTTTGCCTGTGGCAGGACAGTAGTGCACACTGCTAACAACTTTCGGGCGGATCGTGCTGCCTGGACAGGGATAGAGAATTCTTACTATATTCATAAATATTTACACTTGGTCACGATGCCCTCGCAGCAGACCATATTCCCAAGGAACGGACTCTTCAAAGATCGCGGGTTGACGTGGCGCTCGCCAAAGGCACCCTAGGAAAACGTTAATCTTAGTCACTCTAATCACCTCAAATCCGACATTGTAGTGGCCGTCAAAATCAGCATCACTGGTGCGCATTCGCACTTCCTTCAGGGCAGCCTCAACGCAAGTAACTTCATCGGCAAAGTTCTTGATCAAACTAAATGCGCATGTTGTAGAAAAACGATAGATCCAAACCCCTCAGCCCGCGACGGCAGCTTATCCCTCAAGGAATCGATGCTGACGATGACACGTGGGATTTGGCCATCGCAGAACTCCTCGATTTGCTTGTGCATGCGGTTGTCGCTCTGAATTGACAGTTTGGAGAACCGGATTTGGCTTTGCCTTGGAATCATCGAAAAAGTTGACATATTCCTGTGTGTATTCTCGGTTCCGCTGCTCTGCCTCACGGTCAACAAGTCCCATATGTCCGGGGTTGGAATTCATTGCCTGGAAGAACTGTTTGAAGAAAAGTGGATCAAGGTATAGCTTAGAAACGAGTGAAAAAACCAAAGCCTGGAGATCCGATCAACACTCCTTTTGGTAATACCAGGAGAATCCGGCGCGTTTTCCCGCATTTGGACTTCCCGCGAAAAGGAACCGGGGCGTGCTATAGCGACACCCACTTACCACCTCTATTCGCAAACCGTATAGTCGTGAAGGCTGCGTAAGAGTTCGAGTTTTACACAAAAATAGCGTTTTTCCAATAAAATAACTGGAAAGAATACATAACTTCCACGGGACTTCGTTCAAATCAGTCGACAAAATATTTATTTTAGTTAATGGCACGCATCATCTGCCATTTTTACAAAATCTACTGTAAAATAGTAGATCACAAGCGATAAAGCAATCAATCAAAAAAAATCAGTTAGCACGACAAAAAAAGAGAAATGGAACAGCTGAGATGGGATAGGAACTTTTCACTTGCGACGTCGAACGGCCCTGGCTTGAGTCATGATGCGCCTCAGCTCATTGGCGTCCTCTTCTTCCTCGCTGTGGCCTTCAGTCTCTTCCGCATCGGCAGCAGCTGGAAAACGAGAATGTAAAATTTCCATGATGGAAACAATTGGCAACATTCGCCGCGCTTAGAAATTTCAAAACAACGAACCAGGAGCTCCACGAGCAGCAATCGTCACTTCACGTTCGAGATCCAGCTTCCGTTTGGCCAGTCTTTCCATGCCTTCCTCGACGGAATCTGCAAAAATACTATAACCATTTGATGGATTGCGTACCTTTAGCGACAAGGCGCATAACCTGTACGGGCTTCTTCTGACCGAGACGGTGGCAACGATCTTCGGCCTGCAAAAGCAATGTTAAATCTTACACGGCCAAGAAAATGAAGCGCCCCAAACCATATAAGGATAAACAAAACACACTTGTTTGTCATTGTAGGGGTTGAAGTCAATATCGTGAATGATGATGTGATTGGCGGCGGTCAGGTTGATTCCCAATCCACCAGCGCGAGTCGACAACAGAAAGACGAACATCGAATCATCATTGTTGTATTCATTGATGAGGTGTTGCCTAAAAGAGTATACTTCCGGAGCCAACTAATTTCGCCCCTACCGTGTGAGCACCGGTGTACTTCCATCGAGACGCAAGAAAGTGTGGCCCCGGACTTCCATGTACAACTGGAGAATGTCGAGCATCTCGGTAAATTGCGAGAAGATCAGCACCTTCTCGCCCTAAACACATCTAATTTTAGAAATGTATTAAAAATCACCATTCCCTTGATGCGAGCCAGCTCCTTATCGAGATAGGCACATTTTCCGCTGCACACAGACAGTTCGCTGTCCAATAGAAACTGTTTCGTGGAAGCAAACTAAACAAATTATCAAGCTCAGCAAAATAGGTAAACCTTGGCACAAATCTTGTGGATCTGAAAGTCCGAGAGGCAAGTCAAGTCTTCGGCGAGATGGTCCGGGTTTTTCTTCTCGTAGGGGCGCTCCTAAAAAAATAAGGATCTACAGACTATACGTACCTTGATGAGCTGCTGAGCGATCTTGACACATTCGTCATCGTTATAGACGGAACGCGTCATCAGAGGATGGTTGGCCGCTTGCCTGAGACGCATCATGCCGGTGTAAAGATCACGAAGCTTCGGACGATCGACGTCTTGTGATTCACGAGCCAGCTGGAAATGATTGCACATCATGAAGCTCACAAGGAGCCAAACCATACCTCAAGCTGGTAATTGTAGAGCATCACCTGATGATCCGTCATTTCAATGGCCACAGTTTGTTCAGTCTTCTTGGGCAATTCCGAAAGAACCTGAAACCCACAAATAAATTTTTTAACATCGGAAATTACCTGAATCTTCAGCCGCCTGAGGACATATGGTTCAAGGATGGACCTGGCTTGGTCAATGCGATCGCGCCGGTAGAGGGCTTTCTCAGCGGCATCATTAACACGACCTCCTTGCTAGAATAAAAATGGCTCCACCAAAAAAAAACCGACAACCCCCACCTGCTTGAAGTGAGACAAAAGATGGTTCATGTCATCGCAATACTTGTCGAAAACATCTTTCATCACAAAGTACATCAATGAGATGAGCTCGATGAGGTTGTTCTGCAGAGGAGTGCCGGTGAGCAGGATCTTGCGCTTGCTCTGTAACGAAATAACACCGTTGAGAGACAGGATACCTTGATAGTGATGAGTTGCTGGAAACGTAGCGAACCACAATTCTTCAGCATATGGCCTTCGTCGTAGATCACGTAATTTATCTGATGGAAAAAAATGACCAAGTGCAGAGATATTACCTCGAACTGCTGGTAGATTTTGCGATCGGCTGGTTTGGTACTCATATTGTAGGTGGTCAAGATGATGTCCGCCTAAAGAAATTATCGAGTAGCTGATGACAAAACCTTGGTCTTCTTCTTCTTCATCGAAGCGCGAATCTGGTAGCGTTCGTCTTGCGAGCCATAGTAAACCAAAACCTACAAAAGAAAATATGGAATATCTGATCTGATGACTTTCAAGATACCTTTAGAGCAGGACACCATCTCTCGAGCTCAGCCATCCAATTCTCCATGGTCGACGACGGGACGATAATCAGCTGCGTGCCCTTCACTCCCTTTTCTTTCAACCAAGCGCAAAAAGCAATGATTTGGATCGTCTTTCCCAGTCCCTAAATTATCAATTAACAATCCCAAGATTGATCAGCAAACCATCTCGTCAGCCAGGATACAGTTCAACTTCTTCTTATGCATCATGATCAGCCAGTTGAGGCCTTCCTGTTGATAACGGTGAAGGTGATAACTAAATGCAAAACTACATATACATAAACGAACTAACTCTTTAGTAAGGAGAGCCGGCAGGGTGTCGTCATGTTTGACTTGCTCGAAATCCTTTTCCACCTGAAGAGGCAAGCAAGGCTTCATGAAAGCAAAATCATTACATTGGCCGAGTCAACGTCGCAGCAGTCGAGGATACGCTTCAGAATGCCACGCTTTCGCAGATCCTCGATGTACGACTCGATGACGGCGTAGCCGCCGCGTTCGCGAGAAAGCTTCAGCTCCTAAAAAATCGATCATTAAATAAACGAGTACGAACTCTCACCAGCTGATCAAAGTTGCCAAAAGGACGATTGTCGATCACAAACTTGGCCAGTTCTTTCGTGCCCCGGGGCAGCTCGGTCAGGTCGTTAGCCTTTGCGGTATTGAAAAAGTGAAGGCAATCTTCGTGCTCTTTCTTCATGCGTTTCTTCGATGGCTTCCCATCCTAAAAATAGGCTCAAAAAGGAAGTGCCATAAACACCTCCACAGCCTCGAAGTCTTCCCCCTCCGAGTGCAGACTCTCCTCATCAGTCAGCCGATCTTCCTAAAAAAAGAAAAAAATCAAAGGCTAAAGATATGCTTACAGTTAGCTTGCTCCTTTTACCGTGATCTTGTTTCCTGCGCGGCTTGGCCACGTTCTAAAAACAATTTCCAGCCACAAAAGAATTATTACGGGATGATCAGCCTCCTCGAGCTCTTCCTCATCTTCCGACGATTCCACTTTGTGCTTTTTGGCGACACCCTAGGAAAGGAATTAGACACCGGAGCAAAAAGTGAAACCTTGGCCACTGCCTTCTTTTTCTGTACGTTCCTCAAGTTGTGGCCCGGTTCGAGCTGAAGGGATGCCATGTCAAGCTCTTGCTCGTCGGAGCTGCTCTCCGAGAGGCGGCGGCGGCGAAGTTCTTCCGTATCCTGTTTAGGCATCGTGCAGTTCCTTCCTGGAAATAAACAGCATAAAAAGTAGATAGAAAAATCAAAGGCGAAACGCGGGATAAAATAACAAAAACGAAAAGCTTGGAAAAAGAAAAATCGAGTGGAGAAACGCTGCGAACACGCCATTCCAAATGACGGATTGTGTAAAGTGGACGGTCATGTTTTAGCACACGGTTGGGGTTTTCCGTCGGTTTTGAACGCCGCGGCTGTTCCTTGATGGCCTTTTTTAGTATTCAACTGTAATAATTTTAAATATTTTAGCCCTTTTTATGAAATTTTATCCATTTTCAGCACAAGCATCGCATCAACAATGCCAATCCTTCCAGATTTAGATCCACAGGTGCGTTTTTCTCTTTTTATTACAGAAAATATATTTTACAGACAGTCGAGACACTGTCCGGCGCTTTGAAGACGGTGGGCGAGAAAGCGGCCGTCTTCTCGAAGATCGCAGTTACCGGCGCGAAAATTGGAGACGCGAAAGCGGTACGTGTAAATTTCCACATTCAGCCTGATCGTTTTAGCAAGATCTAAAAGAAGACACCCACATCAACACGGTCAAGACGACGGCAAAAATGGCTGCTTCGGCTGGTGGGGCGCATCTAGGTAAAGATTTTCGGTACTTATCAAGTTAGGGGGGCACTTTGGTACCTTATAGTGGACACTTTTTTATCGCTTTTTCGAGTCTACCTGGGGTAGTTTTTATGCTGAGTGCGAAGAGAGTAGCAACAGCATGCCAAACCGTCGTGTTTATCCAGAAAACTATTAATAAAAAGTGTACCTATGCACAATTTGAGGCTGGCCGCATTGTCAGGCAAGGTGGGCCGTCGCTTCGGATGGGCCCCGGGTGGCACGAAGCCTTATTTTTAGGTTGATACCGGGTGTCTGCATCTCTAAATCTTAACAAATTATATAAGCGCATTTTACAACTCTGATTTTGTTATATTCGAAACCAGCACAAAAAATTAGCCTAGAAAGACTAAAAAAATCGAAAACCAAAGTGCCCCCCCCCCCCAACTTGATAAGTACCAGATTTTCTGATCAACTTTCGATTGGGGAGGCACAGCTATTTTTCTCGTAAGAATTTCAGATTATACCATATCTCGTGTGTAAGATCTGATTTCCAAATTGCAGGCGCATCATGTGGGGCCCGGCTTGGATCGGCTTTTGGCGGCGTGGGCGCAGTGGTGGGCACGATCGTCGGATCAATCGTTGGAAGCACGGCAGCTGAAGGCATCGCCTCAACCACGGTGGATCGTGTCCATGAAGCTGTCGCCGAAGAAGAAGTAGAAGACGCAGAACACTGAAACACCCGCCCTCATTCATCTCATGGTCAGATTTTTGTATCACTCGCCCCCGGATTTGCTATGTATGTACCGCGTTTTTGTCCTCAGTTAGAGTTTAGAATTCTCGCCTTTATTTGTGGGTAATTGTTCGGGTATCGCTTGTTAGTAGTTTGAATGTTTACATGCTCACGGTGTACAGTTTATTTGATAAAGTTTTGTAATATCAAGCGCGCAACTTTTTTTAATAGGCCGATCGCTGAAAACCTCGCTGGCACTATTTTCCGCGATGCCTAATTGAAAGTTGTTTCAGATTTGAACCGATAATGGTATTACTGCTCCCTACTTGGCTCGAATTAAGACTTGTCCGAAAGCGGTGTTATCCTTCCGGTTAGTTTTTTAGGCTCTGGACTGTTAGCAGGGGGGAAACTACTCTGTTTTTTCCGTCTATTGATTATATAGTATGTAATTTATAGTGTTTTTATTAGTTTTTAATTGCTACAAGTTATAAAAAAATTTATTTCGTTTCAAAGTTCGACAATTTAAGCCCTTTTGGTCGTTTTTCATACTTTTTTTTGACCAAAAGGTAAAAGTTTTCGAAAAATTTGATTAGTTTTTATATTGTTTTTATCTCTGAAAAACTATGTAAAATGCTATAAAAATGGTTTATTTTTGTTATAGAGCCGTAGAGAATCGTAGGGAAAAATTTGATTCCCCCCGCTAACCGTCCAGAACCGTTTTTTATTCTGAAAAAAAAACCCTATCTGTTGAGTAGAAATTCACAGTGTAGGAGCACGAGCTTTAGGTTGCATGGACTTCCAATATCGTCCTTTATTGTCTTCGATCACATCGCCAGTTACAATCAAGTTGCTTTTTTCTATCCCCATGGTCTACCCGTCGTAAATCGTGATCTAAAAAAAGTAGAGGGAATGGATTGGGATAGAGGTGGATTACCCGTACCGTATCGGGGGTGCGATCGGCCCCTCCTCCATCCACCCCTCCAATAAATCATGATCGGCTCCGCCCACCTCCTAACCGAGACGCTCAACCCCCTCCAAGATCGACCGGGGCAAAGTGGCATTTTTGCACTCGAGCCGCACTAATTCCGTCCGTCTGCAGCCGCGGATTGGTACGGTATCCGGGACTATTTGATACTTCTAAGTTTTTATCTATTTGATTTGAATTTATTCGTGCGCGTTATTTTGAGGCTTGTCGTCTACTATCTAGCGCTACAATAGTGAAAATTTCTGCATTTTATTCTAGCGCTAAATCCACGTCGTCGAGTCGAACAAGGTGTCGAAGGGTCAGGGGTTGGAAGCGGCTCTCAGCCTGTGTGGGGGGAGTTGAAGTTCGCGCGCAATCTGTTTGGACAGCTCGAAGCGAGAGAAGCGAGAGAGCAGCGGAGCCGGGCGAGGGAGACATTGAGATAGAAGGCGCGTCTACAGAAGAAGAAAAAAACAAGGAGAAGAGGGTCCAGGTAGCCGTTGTGTGGCCGGGGTAATGCAAGGGGGCAGTGGCGGCCACTGATAAGCGTGTCCTCCAAATTCTCCCTTCTTTTTCCCAAATTTCCCCCCGAGCCCGGCAGTTACCCCCGGACACACACGGATACTTACTATTTCACCCCTGGCTAAAAAAAATTAAGAACCTTTCTGTTTTATGGTTTTTAGAGTGGCTTAGCGTATTTGTATGAAGAACTATGTCTACTTATTTTGGCTTCTAAGAGCAGACTGGACAGTATTTGATTCTCAATTTCTGTCAATTTCAATTCTCACCTCACTTAGGTGTATCGATTGTGATCGATCGGGTGTTGGTTATTTTAGATTTTCTGCTTTTCTGTTTTTTGGATTGAAAAGTTCTTTTATTGCTTTGAAAAATTGAAGTGTCCAGCAAGCTTGTCTCTTTTTTTTATTATTGAAAATTCGTCTATTTTTTAATTATCGAGAATAGCTCCTAAACTTTCAATTTTCTTCATTTACTACAGATTTGCTACCCTACCCGATAGCCAAAGTGCCTCGCTTTGGTGATTTGGCTGTATGAGCCTTACGGTGCGTCATAAAGCTAGGTTACCAAAGCTAGGCGCCGGCTCGGCTATGTTGTCCCCTTTAGCACACTTTAGAACGGTCTAAAAATTATGCGATTGAGGGTGGTAGTTATGTCGTAGCCACTCGAATTGATGCTGGAATCGGCGCAGCGTGAGAGGCTCGCATGAATTGTGGCTTGTCCGCGCTTCTTCGAGGTGAGCAAAAGCGAGTGGTTGCGCTTGCTGTGTTTTCGGTGCAAAAAAGCTATGGGATTTTCGATGAGATTTATTTCTGCGTTTTTTTTTTTGGTGATAAAGTGTTTTTTATAAGTACCGAGCTAGAAGTTTTATTTTGCTAAAGACTAGTGGCCCCTCAAAATAAACGTTTTTTTTGCTGGCGGTCCCGGTTGGCCTAGTAATCAAATATAAAATGTATTTACATCGTTTTTTAACTTTTAACTATATTTAAAGTAGAAAAACTAAAAAAAAAAGTTTGAAAGATATTTGAAAAAGTCGAAATTGGGTCATTTTGGGTCGAAAACAAATCAATTTTTCTTTCCAAAATTGAATTTTTGAATTACAATGTCTATAGTTTTTTTTATGCTTGGCAATAGTTTCAGACGATTTAGAAACGCATCCGCTATTTATAAAAAATTTTAGGCTGGGCCAAAAAAAAATTTGTTCCCCCCCCCCTCCGAATCCTAAAGAACCCCAGCCTTTATCAAAACTAGTGATGGTATTATTCAAATCTCAAATCTAATTTGCATCCGACTAATCAAATCTGACGGTTTGATTTGAATAAGGTTTCGGCACTTCAAATCAAATCGATTTGATTTGGACTTTCGAGGTTTGAGTTCAAATCTGAAGATTTGAACGAGGATTTGAAAGGAGTCGAAAAAATCAATAGCCTATTACGCGGATGCTAATTGTATGATGGTATGCATAATCAAGGTCATTTCCGGTTCCCGCCAGCTCGGCCATAGCGACTTTTTATGTTTTGCATGCCGGCATCTCCATAGGATTTGATTAAGGACCGGAAGCTTAATCAAATCCTCGAGATTTGATTTGAACTCGTCCACGGGATTTCAAATCAAATCCGCCGATTTGAAATTGAAATTTTTGCCTTCAAATATTCAGATTTGAGCACTCAGATTTGAGTCAAGATTTGATTTGAATAACCCCATCACTAATCAAAACTACGGATACTGCTAAAAAAGTGCCCGATCAACTATAAGATCATCTAAGAACAGCAAATCAATGTTTACAAGTTTTTCAGCCAATGTCACTTCCAGGATTGGTGGGCATTACCGTAGTTCCCGTGCGGTGATCGATGGCAGCCGACGAACGGTCTCCTCCACCTCCCCCACCTTCGGTCGGGAAACGATATCTCCCGGGGGCACCAGTAAACAATCTGTGCTTCAGATCGATCCCCCTCATCGTGTGTCTCGTCGCGTTTTATCTCAAAAGGGGGGACTCACAGCCTTGGCCGGGGGTCCCCCCGCGGGTTTTTGTTGCCGAGATAGGGTGTCGCCGAAAGGGCTGAAGATAGCCGCTGCCCACTCTGCCCCCACCAAAAGATCTGTCCTAAGATAGCTACTGTCTGTGGGCCGGGGGCAGGAATGGTCGGCCCCGGTGAAAAAGGGCGATCCGACGCGCCCAAAAGTACGACAGTGTACGACCAATTTTTTTTC